ATATTTATATATAACCGCGTTATAGCAGTGTGCGTACCGGTCGAATAGGAGAGGGAAACGTTATTACATATTTCTGTGTCAAAATGAGTTGAAAATATGGCGGCTTGGATTAAAGGTCTCGCCGTGTTGGCATTATTACGTTATGAAGAGCAAGAGCAGAAAAGACGGAAACAAAGAAGACGGAGTGTGCATCCTATGTGGAAAAAAAAACAGACCGAAGGAGAATTTAAAATACAGAGAATTATTGGACGATGAAACAAAATTTTACAAATATTTTAGAATGTCTCAGTACTCTTTTTTTCTTTAGTACATATAAACAAACATAACATGCTAACCGCATAACATCGTGTTTATTATCGCACAAAACACTAAAATCGTGTTTATACAAGTCCGTGTCATTTCCGTGCATCGCCAGTGCCGACAACACAAATATCGTTTGGGATTAATTTCAGGCCGGGCACGGACGGGCCCCGTCCGGAAAACGCCAATATATAAATACACTTATAAGAGTACAATATTGTTTTTTTTTTGCCGAGCATTGTCATTGCACGGGACGGACACGGCAAGGATATGTATAAATCGACCTTAAAGCTGCGAATTTTACAAACAAATCGACAAAACTTGCTAAATTTCTTTCAAATAAATTCTTACATTTATAAATATCTATAAAAATTTCATTTGTATTACATGACACTTCACACAAATTAATACAGTATGAATTTATATAGGCTGGAAACCACTTATGGAATAAAATTACCTATTTCTGTTCTTGTTTTAAAAAATGATAAAAAACGCTGAGACCCATCGACTTTTATATATAAATGTGTGCTTTTTGTATATAAAAAACGGGATGTTTTTGCCACGGGAGTGGCCAAGGAGAGGAAGCAGTTTTTAATTTAATTCTAATCAATAGTTCGATTTGATTTTGTCCGTAGCCCACGATAAGAAAGCTATGCCTTCAATTACCCCTGTATACAGGGTTTTTCAAAAAGGTATGTCATAAATTAAATCACGTATTTTATTAAGCGCACAGAAAAATTTTAAGGGGACTGTGTACAAGGGTAATAGCTGGTCATCTAAATGTTCCTCACGTAAGGGTTTGGAGGCGTTTATTATTGGTTGAAGATTATCCTAAAAGGATTGGATTTTGCGATTGGTTGTTAATGGAAAACACTCAAAAATGTTCATTGTATTAGAAATATTTTATTTACCGACGAGTCTACCTTCAGTAGAAATGGAATAACAAACCATCATAACGAGTACATTTCGGGCCGACGAAAATTCTCACGCCAAAAAAACGACTTCTCACCAAAGGACTTTCAAAGTTAATGTTTGGGCAGGAATCGTGGATAACAATCTAATAGGTCCAGTATCTCTTCCCAACAATTTACATGGTGATAATTATTTGCAGTTCTTGGCAAACAATTTACAAGAGTATTTAGAAGAAGTGAATATTGCAATAAGACAAAATATGTGGTTTCTACAAGATGGCGCTCCACCACCTTACAGTAATGAAGTCCGGGAAACCTTTGCAGGCAGTATCCTGATCGGTGGATTGGAAGGGGTCGTGACGCAACTATTTCTTGGCTACACAGAAGTCAAGGTCTTAACCCCATGGACTTCCGTAACTCAATAAAAACTGTGTTTTGAAAAAAGTGATGAGGCAAATTTTTTTTTAAATAATGTGTTAAACTAATGATGCCACAAAATTCATTTGATTTGAACGTACTCAAAAGTTCGAAGGGATTTAGGGCTGCACACCCCCTTAAATTTTTTCTGTGCGCTTAGATTTTGTTGTTTCTTTTTTATGAAAAATGCTTTTAGAACAAGAATTAAAGTCTGCACATTTAAATGTATGTTTAAAAATCGCATATTTATATATAAAAGTTGATGAGTCTAAGCGTTTTTTTATAATTTTTTAAACCAAGAACAGAAATAATATTCCATACGTGATTTGATATAGCAATGATACCTCTCCCAACTTTTTTGAAAAATATTTATTCTATTTCTTTAATATTGCCTTGTATACGGAACATTTCATTATCCTCGAATTAGTTTCATAATATATACTATACTCGTTTTCATCGTTCTTGGCGTGTGCCTGAAATAAGCTACTACGGAATTTTTAATATTCGTCTCTCTCTGATACACAGATGCGTAATTCAATTGTGCGAGTCACGTTCGTCATGGTAAAGTGCGATGAGAAGGGAATGAAGAGACCACTCACGTCTCCCAGTATTGTAGCAATAACACCGATGCGTTTGGCCGATGCGGTGTCGGTGATAAGTTCGTCCTCTTTTCGAATACAGATAGCTGGCAATGACGTGTTTTTTTTAACATGTTACCCTCATCTGTGCAGGTTTGAAGTAGCTGATGAAATAGTTTTTATAAGTAAACAGTTTTTAATTAATTAATAGTTTGAGCTATTACTGTGTGGAATTCCATTACATAAAATAATACTCTCGACACCTTAAAAATTCCAGTTTATTATAAATTAACTCTCTTCCGATACCCATTGCAATAATGACTTGTGGCATTGTTCTTGAATAAGCTGGCTAATAGGTATATAATTGTAGCAATTACCGTTGATATTTTATGTTGTTTTAGTAGATTTTAGTCAGTCATTGTTGGAATTTGTTCCGAACGGTTTTACTTATAATTTTTTGTTGTGAATAACTAATTGTTTTATTTAATAAAAAAAAATGTCGGGAAAAACGATAACAGGAGAAATGCGACAATGTGTAGTTCATTTATTGGAGTATTTTAAAAAAGAAAACAACGGACCTTTGCTTTCGTTATCATCGGTACAAGAACGAGTAGCGGACGCTTTGAAAATCAGTCTTCGCACAGTGACAAGAATAAAGAGTGAATACAAGACAGGGGCAGCTCTCACTACACCAGGAGAGTCACGTAATGTACAAAAAAAAGACTAATGATGTCAGCGACACTATAAAAGGAGAGATTATAAATGTACTGTATGGCATGAAAGCAAAAGGAGAGCACGTTACAATTAAAGTTCTAAATACACAATTAAGAAACAAGCATCTCTATGACGGTTCTGATACAAGTTTGTGGCGTCTTATGAAAAATTGTGGGTTTTCATACAAACTAGACAATAGTAGACGAGTGCTATGTGAGAAACCATGTATTGTCTCCAAACGACTGTATTTTTTGAGGCATTATATGAGAAATTTTTTAAGTCCAAGCCCACTTCAGTTCGTTTTTTTAGATGAAACATGGATATTCCTAAAAGGGGCATATAAACGTACTTGGCAAAATGACTAGTGAAAAGGACACGAAAATACAGGTAAACGCTTTGTTGTTTTACATGCCGGAAGTAGGCAAGGATTTGTTAAAGATGCTGGATTACTGTTTTCTACGAAATAGAAGGGTGCAGACTATCATGATTCTATGGATAAAGAGTCTTTTAAAAAGTGGGTCTCCGTAAAGCTGATACCAATGTTGGAGGAACCATCTCTAATTATTATTGATAAGGCCTCATACCATAGCTCTTTAATAGATAAGTTACCGAATGCCAGTTGGAAAAAATCGGACTTACAAGAATGGTTACGAGCGAAAAAAATAATTTTTGACGACGATTTGGGCAAGACAGAGCTATTGAGTCTGTCGCCAGAATAAACCACAAAATACCAGGTACGTTATAGACGAGCTACTCCAAGAACATGGGCATCAGGTTTTGAGATTGTCTCCATATCACTGTCAATATAATCCAATTGAGTTGGTCTGGTGCATTTCTAAACAATACTATGATCGTCATATTGGAGAACATGGACGTGGAGATGAAACAGTGAAAAAAGTTTGGGATGATGCATTAGCTGAGGCAACACCTGCAGTGTGGGCGAGTTGTGTTAACTATACCGAAAAATTAATTCAGGACGACTGGGCAAAAATGGTCACATATGATGAAAATGAAAGTAGGATTATCAACGATTTGGCGGAAGATTCCAATGATGAAGACAGTTCCAGTAAAGACGCTGACTGATTAGCTAATTAATCAAGGTCAGTACGTTGTAACAGTTCAGAATTCGCTACAGTGCTTAAAACTTAAAAAATCTGTATCATTTTTTAATTAAAGTGGGTTAAATAATTAACACTTTTTTGGGTATATTTCAAAATCCTTTTAAAATGTACTTTTAGTTATATCATGTCCTATTGTACTGCAAGCTAGAAAAATACTTCTTCGCAATTTATACGTATATTCCGTTATTAGAAATTTAATGAAAAATAATTTATAATTTTCTTTTATAACTATTATTTCGTTTGACATGCTACATTTTGCTCCGCCACTGGAGGAGGTAAACGAATCGAGCTTAGACAAGGAAAGACAGATGAAACAACTTATTGCAAGTGTTTTTACACGCACACGCCAAGAACGATGAAAACGATTATATTTAAGTACTTGGTAGAGATAGTGCAAGCACTCTTGACCACGGCGCTGTAGACGAAATTTGGTCTAGTCCCCACTTCCATGCGAAACGCATTTTAGTATGCAGTGTATAATTCCGCTCAACCTTTCTGTGTTTACGTGAATTTTGACTCCGCCTTCGCGCAGCTCCATGGTCAGGAGTATTTGCACTATCTTTAACACAAACAAGCCTGCCAAATTTACAGGCTATACTTCAATCTCCTGAGAATTTAATAATTTTTAACCGTTTTGTAATATTCGAGGCGGTTGGCAGCAACGAAACATTGTTGGTGATCCAGACATAGTATGACTAGGCTAGGCTTGTACTTACAGCCGTTACTCACTAAAAGATACCGAACTATATACAATAATTTGTACATAATAATATGAATCGTTGCTTATTTACTTAATCCGAAACCCGTGCAAATTACCCGAATAGACTCTAATCCACAAATATTTCTGTCAATTTCTACTAGGAAAACCACGTCTGACAATACATAAAACTATAATATCTGTTATAACTTTCTACTTATAAAACTTGAAATTATTTTTTATCATTTTATATTTGTTATAGGACTATGTGAGGGATACGAGTATATCTATGATTTGAGTCAAATTGGCGAAGTCATTACAGGTAAGTTGCTTTTAAAACTTTTTGTTTTTTTGTTCATTTTTTTTTGTATCATAGTTTTTTTAATATATCACTTTATTTAACCCTTAACTGATGGCCTCTCAGTCTACGCTTCATAAATAAATTATATTTTTCGGTCAACAAAATTTCCCTCTGGTTTATAGTTCTACCTATTCCTTCTTCTAGTGAATCAGGCGGTTATAAAACTTTATGATTGGCAACAATGGTGCTAGGTCTCTGGTTAGATTTGTTCGAGTGCGTTTATGTTGGTATGTTGGGTTGCAAGAGCAATGTCATCAGTATACATGAATTTTCTGGATGTGGTGATTGTTGGATCAATCAGATAGAGGTTGAACATGAGAAGCGCTCGTTTTTGTATTTTACCAATATGATATTAAACATTTTTTTAAGTATAGTAGTTTAGTTTTGCATTTTGCCAAAAAGGTTTTATTTCTTCTAATTTTCTATTGTTTTCTCAAAACATTGTTTTGTTTACATCTTATTATAAAAACGTAATAATTATTTCAGTTAAAACATTTTAGTTACTTACATTTCTTTGGCATTTTCTATCTGTAAATAGGTAGTCTGTTAGTAGACTTTGGACTTTTTACGTTACACGTTTGTTACGGGTCAGTTAAGGGTTAAAATGTGAAATACACCAGTTAAAATTAGGACACTGAGTGGAATTATAAAAACTAATTGACAGTTGCGGCCAGTTAAGGGTTAAAATGTGCAATACACCAATTAAAATTAGGACACTGAGTGGAATTATAAAAACTAATTGACAAAGAAAAATTTGGCATGCCCCTAAAGGTTCGTAATGCTGTTAACATTATCGCTTATGACTTGTTTTGAGGTTGTATATGGGTAGAATAAAAAAAAGTTAAAAGTTCGTCTCGAATTTAAAACCATTATACTTTCTAAAAAAAAATTGTAAAAAAGTCAGTTATTTTATTGACAAGACTTTAAAATGAGTTCTGGGAAAAGTTTTTCTTCTTCTTCACTGGCTTTACAATTCGGGGTGAGTCTTCGCCGCATCCACTATCGCCCTCCATCCTCGACGATCTTGCGCTTCTATTTCCCACTGTTGTACCCCAATTCTAAATAAATCGGCTTCAACATCATCCTTCCATCTTTTTCTCGGTCGGCCTACTGATCTTCTACCATCTGGTCTTTCAAAAACATTGTCTTTAACACTCTGTCATAATGTGATCGTACCACGTGACCTGCCCATCTTATTCGGTTTGCCTTGATATGTCTAACTGTGATTTCAGTTCCATACTGAGTCACCAATTCAGCATTGCGGCGTCTTCTCCAATCCCCTATGAATTCATCTCTTTGAGGGCCAAATATTATTCTTAGAACCTTTCGTTCAAATACCAGAAACTTATTGATTTTCCGCTGGTTGAGAGTCCATGTTTCACTTCTTCAAGTGCCCTGTCCGTTGCGAACGTTGGCTATTAACATGGCAATTTTGATCTTGTTTGCGGCGCTTCTGAATAGTTCGACCGATGTGAGCCCGAACCACTTCCGCAGATTTTGGAGCCACGAGTGTCTTCTCCTGCCTAGCTCTCGCTTAATGTCTATTTTTCCCTGGACAATCAATTGTAGCAGACGGTACTTATCGTGTCTCAATATGTGGCCTAGATATTCAAGCTTTCTTTGTTTAATTGTATTCACGATCTCTTTCTCCTTTCCGATTCTTTGGAGTACCTCTATGTTGGTGACATGTTCGGTCCAGGATATACGAAGAATGCGTCGGTAAACCCACATTTCGAATGCTTCTAGTTTCCTCGTTAGCGTCTCCGTCAGCGTCCAGGCCTCCACGCCATACAGCAAGATCGGAAAAATGTAGCATTTAACTAGACGTCGTTTTAGGGGAAGAGACAAATCCTTGCTTATGAGGAGCTTTTTCATATTGCTAAATGCTGCTCTAGCTCGTTCTATTCTCGCCATGTTTCACTGCCATATCTAATAATTGGGCGAATAATCGACTTGTACAGTGTTAATTTAGATTTTCTTTTTAGCAGCTTCGATCAAGGGAGTAGAATTATCTATTTCCCGCAGCTATCTTTGTTGAGACCTCTTTTTCTATGTGGTTGTCAGCTGTGATTATCGCCCAAAGGTATTTAAACTTCTTTACTACTTCGAAGTTATGATCATTAACACTGATGTTCTGCCCAACTCTTGGTCTTGGATCTTTGGTTACTACCATGTATTTTATCTTTTCTTCATTTATTCGGAGACCCAGACTACCTGTTTCCTCCTCGAGCTGTGAAAACACCTCTCTCACGTCTCTTGTAGAATGTGTGACTGCATCTATATCATTAGTAAAGGCCAGCAACAGTTTTGATCCTTGATCAGAAAATCCTCCTATCAGCTCAGACGATATTTTACTTATTGTATATTCTAAAGCAAAATTGAACAGCAATGGTGACAAGGGGTCCCCCTGCCTAAGTCCTGAATTTATACCAAATGGTATCGGAAATGGTAAAAGTTTTTGGTGCATTTATATGCAATATGATGCAATAGAACAAATTGTCAATAACTTTTGCAAAAATGATATTAACACTTTCAAATTTGCATTAAAAGTAGGCTTTTAATCTTTTAGTCCAGTCGTCAAGTTGACCCCTGAAAATCATACGAACAAGCTGAATTTTGCCGAGAATATTAAATTGGGAATCCCAAAAAAGATGCAAAAAACTTTATCACTTTTACCCCCGGGCTTCCCAATAAAACTGTCCCTGTAGGGGGTAAAACGCAAAAAAAAAACGATTTACCAAAAAGCTGTACGCCGTAGAAAAAAATGTTTCAAATAAAAAATGTAGCTGAGATAATTTTAAACAAAAATATTTATTAGCACTCTTTGTATAGAATGAACCGTTCTCTCAAAAGCAATTCTTGGAGCGACCGTCAATTTTGAATGTCAGTTACGCGCGGGGAATCAATGTTCAATAAAATTTGTATCAACTCTACGGTAAAAATTTGATATCTTTTGATCGAAGTGTCCTATCGACAAAAATCAAGATGCATTTTAAAGGTAAATAGTGTTGCTTTGGTATGCAGTTTTTGTATTTTGCCGCGAATAAACTAAGTTTTTAAAAAGGTGTTTAATAAATAAACGTGGCCCGATGTTGCCATTTTTTACGATTCTCGTGAGATCAATAGAATTGATCACTTCATTGGCCAGTCGTAGTAAAATTTCCATTTCTAGATAGCAATCTTTAAAACCTATGACGTGAAATTTCAATTTTGAGTTGTGGCAACAATATGAGGCAAACGATCGTACGTCACGGGAAATACCACCAAGAAGACGGTTTTGGTGTAGTTTATAGCAGAAGTTTGGTTCTTTTGAAAAATGTACTCATATAATTGAAAAAAAAGTTTTAAACGTTTTAGATAGTTTGTTATGTGAAAGTTTAAATCCAGGGTTTTTTAAGCATATTTCATTACATTTTTCATTTAAAACATTTTTTTGTACGGCGTACAGATTCTTTCTAAATCGATTTTTTTGCGTTTTTACCCACCTGTAGGGTCGTTTTAGGGGAAGCCTGGAGATAAAAGTGGTAAACTTATTGCATCTTCCCAAGTCCCAAAATTGATAGTTTTGGAAAAATTCAGCTTGTTCGTATGGTTTTTAGAGGTTCAGTGGCATTTTCGTCTCTGACGACTGGAGTATCGTGAAAATACGTCAAAGTAATTTTAAACAATGTTTAAGGTGTATTATGCTTCGTTGCTAAATTTCAGTAAGCTAGCTCAAATTGCAAAAGAATTCCTTTTAAAATAAACTCTTGGAAAAGCTTCAATCATAAAGAGTTATTGAGCGAGCCTCTGTAGAATAGTACCCATATGAAACCTAAAACAATTGTTATATGTAGTTTACAGTGTCTGTTAAAAACACTGTATTTTTGCTCATTTCTGTGTGCTCGACAAATCCAAAGAAATCGTTTGGAAAGTACTCTTCTAGTATTTTTATAATGGTAATGTCGATCCCATCGAGACACCCACTACTCTCAATTATTTATATTGTATCGTATTACACGTTAGTGCATTTCGTATAATTATTACAGGTCCTGGTGCACGCAGCAGTACAATTGCAGGAATTTTAGGAGGAGCGCTACCCAAACTATCATCGGATGATGCAGATGCAGTTAGCAAGGCAAAGAAATACGCTATGGAACAAAGTATTAGAATGGTTCTCATGAAACAGACGATTGCTTATCAACAACAGGTAAGTTTTTGTTTGCATATATTTTATATATTTACTCGCTTAGTTTATAAATCTGTACCTCAATATGAAAAGGATGAATAAGAGCTTTTTATATGGTGTAAGTGTAATCAATAATAGTATTATAATGTAGAATTCCAAGTTGTGGCGATAAAGAAATCGTTTTATCCAAACTACTTATATCAGTCCACATGTTCTATGTTCTATATCATCATTTACATTAATTGTTTTAAAATTTTCTTAAAAATGGGAGATTTTTGTACAGTGTGAGATATTTTTTATTGTTTTTTTTTTAATTGAACAGGCTAAATAGAAGTACGGTCCTCATCGGCAACATTGGTGATGTCCACACATTAGTTATCTCGCCGTATACGCCAAAGCATTCATACAGTCAAAAGGTCTTCATAACGAAGATTTGGGGAAATTTCGTTCCAATTCTCCACTGTATGTCTAGCTTTCCGAAAACAGCTTAATATAGTTAAGTGTGTTACTGAATACCATAGACTATTGGAAAGTCGAGCATCTGGAAGAATGTAGGTGCCAGCAAGAATGTTTAGCACTAAAGGCCTTCGTTAAAAGTGTTTTTGATCATGTTTGTAAAAGTAAAAGTATGATCTTTACATTTTCCATAAAGTGAATAGACTTGTGTGCTGTGCAGATATCAACCATCATTCTCTTTGTCTGTATTTTTTTATATTTAACAAGTTAATAGAAAGAAGATCCGCTTAACAATGATAAAGCACATGTGGAAACGAAGGAAGCAGAGGAACATCATATTTCGTCATCGAACTTTTACAGATTAATTCAATCTCAAGGAACACTTTCGAAAATTAATTTGGAGCTCTATACGAAGTTTGCTTTCTTAGTTTTGTATATAATCTCAATCTTTTATTGACATAAATCGAGAGTTTCATTGCGATTCAACAAGTCGTCTAGATACAGTGAATTTTTGAAATTAGCAAGTCAGTCGAAAAATGGATTTTAGCCGAGAACATTTTCGAATAATAATTTTTTACAATTTTCGGAGAGTATTGTCCCCACAGCAATGTCTCGCTGAAATATTTTCTGTGTTTGGGAATATAGCATCACACCAGTCTACTACTCCCAACTGGTATTGCGAATTTCAACTTGATCGCTCCAGTCTCAGCGACGAATCTAAGATCAGATCCACCCAAAACAGCAGTCAATACAGATTACCGCCGCGTAACCGGGATGTAGAGGCATCTTTGAGCATTTCAAAGGCCTCGATCCAAAAGATCCTACATGAACAACTGGGTGTTACGAAGTTGGTTTCCCGTAGGATATGTCCGAAGAATTGTAACTTTCGAGATTTAATGGTGGTCAGTACCTCTCGGTTCTTATTCATTCTTCTGAGGACCTTCTCATTTGTGACTTAAGTATTCTCCGATATAGCCACATCTCAAATGCTTCCAGTTTTTTGCACATATATTCGTTCAAGGTTCACATTTCAACACCATAAAAAGACAGAAAGACGTAGCGTCGCAGCATTTTTACTTTTGTGTCAAGAGAGATGTTGTGACTTTTGAAGAAGGCCCCCATCCGATTGAAGGTGGATCTAGCTTTTCCGATGCATGCTTACGATGAGCAAAAAGCAGTTCGCGTTAATTGGTGTCGAAAATAATTGGAACGGTTCGACAAAGGAAGCTCAAAAAATGTTTGTAGTACTGTTAGTTGCGATGAATCTTGGATTTACTCCTATGAATCGGATAATAAACGCCGATCTGCTGTATGGGTGTTTCACGATGAGGAAAAACCAACAAGTGATTCGTTCTCGAAGTGTCAAAAAAATCGTCGCAACTTTGATGTCAAAATCTGGTCATGTGACAACAATTGCTTTAGAAGATCGAAGAACGGTTACTTCTGATTGGTATAAAATCGTTTGTTTGAATCATGCTATTTCAGGACAATGCAAGTGCTTCACACTATCCAACAGACAATAGTTTTTGGAGCTTTAAAACATCTAATTGTTAAATCATCCACCGTATAGCCCTGACATAAGTCCCAACGACTTTTTAACGTTTCCAAAGATCAAGAATTCAATGAGTGGGCAGTGATTCCAGTCGTCAGAAGAAGCCATCAATCCTTTTAAAACAGCGATTTTGTAGGTGTCAAAGGTGTAGATGTCAGAAGAAAGACGTGACTAGGTCAGAAAGTTTCAAACTTCAGATATTACACAAGAACTGAAAAGTTAAAAGCGAGAGAGTCCTGAGGGCTGTGCGGGATACTTAACCCTGTTTATGAATGTCCAAAAAAGAAAACTGAAAATTTATAGATATATATTGCTCCAACTAACGCAACGATAAAGTCATTTACAAAATTATTAAAAGTGAAATTGGAAGAACTAATTGCAAATAGAGATGAACAATAAGGTTTCCAAAGAAATAGATCAGCAGACGCAATGTTTGAATTTGATAATGTCAAAAAAATCCATCGAATACAACAAATCGTTTTGAGGAATTTTCTTACACTGAATAAAAGACTGAGGAATAATTAAAAATTTCTATATGAACCGGTTTTCACAAATCGGCCTCTTTACAAAAAAATTTAAAGATAAAACTTTATTTTTACAAAAAGTAGAAAAAATTAAACATTGGTATTGTTATCATAGCATGTTTTAAATATTATAGTCATTATGTTGCCAAAAAATTAAGTTCAAGAAATTATACCTACTGGGTGTAACACTTCTAATGTCACTGAGTATGTTTAATTTAGTTGTGGAGAAAATAATAACAGAAAATAATAAAAAAATATTTCTATTCAAAGTAGACTTTTTCCTTTTCATTCTGAGGTACAGAATTGTTAATTCAAATATTTTTTATACTTTATGAGCTTTATGCATAATAATCCCAAAAATTGATTTACGAAACCCATTAAACTATCAAAACACATAACCTGAGTTCATACTGGTGTTTTCCGTTCCATTATAGTTCGATCAAATTTTTTATTGGTCACGCAAATCATTATCAAACTAGAATAGATTTTCTTGAAAATTAGTACCTATGAAATTTCTTAGAAGATTTATACTTAAAATTGAATAAATGAATGGTAAACTTTCAGTTTATGCCAAGTGTGTTTTTTTTTTCGTTCACACTATTGCTTCCAAACTTGTTTTATGTTTTTTTGTATGTTTTTTTTACATGTTATTATTAGTTTTCTGTGAGATCATTACTTAAAATTCTTTCACAATATTTTGTACCAGTTCATTATTTTGTACAGGATTGAACTTTCCCCTTGACACGTTTTGAAAACTTTTCACTCAGGTTTTGTGCTTATTGATGCAAAAAGCAAAAAATACTCGCAACTGTTATTTTTTATTTTTAGGGTACATATTTTGTAAATATAACATTCTGAAATTTCAACCTCCAATCCAATCTCTAAAATCTTGTGTGATGTATTATTTTAAAGGTTATTTATCTTTTCGACTCCACCTCGTATTTTTACTTTATATGGTATTTTCGAGAAAATAATTCTTTATATGTGGAATCCAAAAAAAGCTTGATGATAAAAATTTGCTAAAAAGTGCAACAAAATGAAAACGACTTATCGTCATAACAATCAACAAACGTCATTTTCCCATGCCAATCTTATATCACAGAAGAGATTATCTTTTCTGCTCCAAAAGTGCATTACAAAAAAATAAAAAAAAACAGGGTTTTTTAAAGACACAGAACATAAATCGTATTTAACGAAAAGAGGAATTATCCTAGCAATAAACAATAATATCAAAATCTTACTAGCATGGATCCCAGGACACACTGGTATTACTGGAAACTACAAGGCTGACCAACTTTCCAATATAGGTCGTTCCGTGAATATTCCCATGAATATCAAGTTACAGTTTTCAAATTTTACACCCTACTTAAAAAGAGAGATTTGGTCTAATTGGGCAGCTGAATGGTACGAAGGATATGGCACAAGTAATCATTCTATGTCAAAATTAATAAACGAATCCAGACACTACCATGGTTCAATAAATTCGCATATATCAGTAGGAGACATTTAACTACAATCATCCGTATGAGAACGGGTCATTGCTCATCCCCTCTTCATCTATTTAGAATTGGAGTCAAAGATGATTCTTATTGCGAATGTGGCCAAGTGGGAAGCTTAAACCATATTTTATTAGAATGTCGCTTAAACCAAAACTCACATTTCGACTTGTATGTCGAATTAGCTAAAACTAAACTTCACACTCCCATAACTATTTGCACAATCCTCACAAATATTAATGAAAATACAATAAACACCTTATGCAACTTTATTTCTACCTTCTACCTTTCTTTAACCTTTTTTTAACTTAATTTTTTGAGAAATGGTTATCCGAACTGAAAATACGTCAAGTGCCGTTGAAAAAATAACTAAATAACCTTTAAAATGATATATCGCATGATATTGTTACAACAGAAAACCTGGGTAGAAAGTTGTAAGTTATATGTATTCCTCTTTATAATTAATCCCTTTAAGATTCCTTGACATTATTTGCTTGCCGTGCCATTTCTGATCTAAAGTTTTACTACACTTTTTGTTCTTGTTGTACTGGTTTCGTTATTAATATTAGTTTGGAAATGTTTGTATATACGAGGAAAAATCAAATAAAAAGCGATATTTTATGTAACATTTAGCAATGCCAGGAAGGAAAGATACTTCATGGAATACGACAGTCACAACTGTAAACGTTTTTGAGTTTTAAGTCAGGAAATGCAAGTTCAAATCCTTTTCTTCATTAATATCGATTATTAATGAGGTATATGCCTGCCAAAATGACTCATCAAACAGCGCAGTAAAAATGGACACATATCGACTGGAATTGTCTATAGCATCCACCTTATAGACCGCACTTACCACCATGCGACTCACAACATTGTAACAATAAAACCACAGAAGCCATTGATTTATATTTGATTTAGCCTCGTATATATCAATTTTAATTTTATATTTTTCTACATGCAATGTGTAATATCCTGACTAACTAAACTTTAATCCACAGAAAAATAAAACGTTCCAGAGACACCAAGTATTAGTTTTAATGTGCAGGTTAGTGCGTAGAAATATCGCACACGCCCGCCCAGGGGGCGAGAGCTCGCCCCCCAAAATCTTTACTCCCCGATTAACCCTTTTCGAACCATTCAATATTTTGGAGTTACGTTTTTTGTTTTGAAAGTACAATATTTACTTTTATTTAATTTTGTTTATGATTTAGTTATTCATTGATTAATGTAAAAAATAAATAGTATATGTAACATGTGAAATTTGTCATAAATCAATATTTTAGATATATTTTCTTACTTTTGTGCTAATAAATATAATTATTTGCGATTCTTTTTAAACAAATTATCTATAAATCACTAGTGTTTATATTGTAACACACAATAAACTGGAGTAGTAGAAGGTAGACTCAGGACACTGATACATTTTATGTCTCGGAACCATCGTTGCTCAGTCAATTGTAAATAATGAGCTAGGTCGTTTAGGGAGATATGGAACACGAAAAATATATAAACAAAAAAACAAAAAGAAAAGGAAAAGAAAAATTATTCACACAAAAACATGGGCGCCATTGTTTTTAAATCTTCGAATCCCAAAAAAAAATTAAAATGTGATGCTGATAATATAAAGAAAAAGACCGAAAAACTGTAAAAAGAAACGAGAATATATGCGTTCATTCGTTAGAGGTTTGACCCCTAAAAATCATACGAACAAGCTGAAGTTTGCCGAATTTTGAAAATATTAATTTTGAGACCCCAATAGATGCAAAATGTTTACCACTTTCACGCCCGGGCTTCCCCCTAAAACCCCCCTAGTATGGGGGGGGTAAAAAGGGTATTTAAAACATTTTTTTTCTATGACATACAGGTTCTTGATAAATCGATTTTTTTGCGTTTTTACCCGCCTTGTATTCCTTTTAGAGAGAAACTCGGGTGTAAAAGTAGAAAACTTTTTTGCATATATTGAGTCCCGAAATTAATATTTTCGGCAAAATGCAGCTTTTTCGTATGATTTCTTTAGAGGTTTAGTGGCATTTTCGTCTCTGACGACTGGAGTGTGTTACGAATTGGGCCTATAAATATAAAAGTGTTCCTTTTGTTTTAAAATATCTCACACTATCGACTCACCGATACCGTACTGAAAGTACATAAGTTTAGCGGCGCGTAAGAAAACTTTCATTGTAGTAAAAGACACGGTCAGCTGCACTGGGGTTCTCCAGAATCTTTTTAATTACCTTACTTTTTTTAGAATATTTTTGTCTGTATTATTAAGAGTTAATTTGTATAAAATAAGGAGCAAACATTCAAATGGAATGTTTATTTGGCTAATAATGAATGTATAAATATAATGGTTAACCGATTTATAATTATTTTGTAAATAACATAATAGTGTACTTACTAATTATTTAAATTTGTAAATCAATCATTGTCACTAAATTCACTACCACTATCATTATGCAAATCTAATCACTGGATTAATTTCACTAATTTTATTATCCCGGATCCACCACTTTTCTATTAATTTATCACATTTATTTACAGTTTTGGCCTCTATTTCTGGAGTTGCAGTTTTAAGAGCTTCTTGCCACATTTCCCTAACTGCATAGTCACTGCATCCAACGTGATTATCATAATACGTTTTAAATATATCCCAGATGGTGTTCGATGGGATTAAACTGGCAGTGATACGACGGTAACCATATGTCCATAACTTGATACAATTTGGTCAACTATATAACTGTTGGTTTTTCATTACGTTTCGAAATTTCCAGTAACTCTGATTTGAAGGCGTATTCCGGAAAGTTTGAAACAACCAAAACCACATTGGTTTTGGTTGTTTCTCCAAAATCTCCGAATGGTAGCATTATCTAAAACTATAACTGATGGTTCATTCAGACTAGGTAACAGTTTCTTCTCAAGCCATTTAACAAACATATCTGGATTCATGTTTTCATGGTAATCAGCAGATTTTGATTTTGAAGAAAGAGTTAAATCAGCGTTTTCTATAAAGCCTTCTTTCCCCTTCTGCATGAAGAATGATATGTCTTTTACCTTCGCCATATGTGTGTTTTATTGATTTTATGCTGTCGACTTGCCAAATTCTTTTAATTCCACCCTTTACAAATATCCATGTCTCATCTAAGGATACGAATGTTGCATTTTCAGATTTAAGTCTAGTATATTCTCTCAAAAATTTAATTCTTTTGTGAACCACACTACTGCTTTCGCATAAAAGTAATTATTTTCATTTTTGAATTTAAATCCTAAATCTCTCAACACTTTCCAAAGGCTAGTCCTCTTAATTTCATAAACTTGTCTTTTTCTTATTTTGGCCAGTAAAGTATTCGATACAAAATATTGCGAATTTCAAAATTTTTTCATCAGGTAAGTCAATGCCTCTAGAATGTTTACGAGTTGTTTTCTTGTCTTCCTCATACTCAGTCACAGTAAGATCTTGAGAATCTCTGAAAGTCTTCATTACGGGTTTTAGCTTACTTTCATTTATTCCAAATGCGTCACAAACTCGTTGATTTATACATAATAATGACTTTAAAGGTCCACCATTGTCTCTTTCCATGGTAAAGTATTTATGCACAGTTGCAGATTAATTCATCAATATCCAACTTACGTCTAGGCAAGATGGTCACTTGAAACTACACGTTTGAATTACAATATACTGAGTTTAAATCAATATGACAAATTTTCTAACTGTTGTGCTTGAGAGGTAAAATATAATATAACCGCTTACAAAGATCTTAAACACATCAAGCAAATTAGCATAATGTTACCACCACTATTTAAATTGACAAAATATTCTAGTTTACTCCGAAGTATCTTTTAACAAAAATTAAAAGTGATATTTTAGTACTTTGTATGTCTACTTTGAATATAAAGTGGACGGTGTTTTGCAACAATCGTCTAACCCACATTTGTTTACAAATGAGGTTAGACGTGCCAAACTGTTGATCATAATGCATACTACATCAAGCAAAAATGATATAAGCCATATCCATAATCATGGAGGCGTTTGTGAACTAAGTTCTAAACCACATTCGTCAAATAATATGAAAACAGAAATTTGTAAAAATAGTCTAACCCATGTTTTTATTATAAATATGTGGGTTAGACGCTTGTTGCAAATCTTTGTAAGGGTCTTTTCATTGCGTGCACCAGATGCAAAATATTAAATTGAACCAATCTTTATTTTGACTTATTAAAAGACGAGAAATTTATTATTACACTATTACAATTTTATTTAAATAAATAAAATTGCACCAAACTAGAGGCTTTATCTTTAATGGTAAAATACGAAAGTATATTATATAAAACTGTGAATTTTCTGTGTTGTGAGCTCGGCAATGGATTAAAGAAATTTTTAAATTCCTTTTATCGTAGATAGTAGAAAAGGTAACATAATATGTTTTGCGATTACTGAAATGTTGGTGCCATGAATGCCGACAAAAATTGCATTATCAAATAACGAAACCAGTTGTTTATTATATAAAATATTGGAACTGTTGCTTGATAGTCAAAATTCTGGTCAGCAAAATATTGTAGGAATATGATAAGAATATTATAGGTATGATTTGGAAGGAATTTGGTTAAATCCTGATTTCGAGATTGATCAAGATTAAATCGAGTAGGAATTTAATAAGTAACAATTACTATTACTAATGAACTTGAATTCGAAGTTTTTTTTGTGTATTTACCATGTCGGAGGGATAGACGGTTATTGCAAAATGACCATTTATATTTTTACAATTTTGCAAAAACAGTCTAACCCGCTTTAAGTTATTTTTGCAATAAACTGGTTTTACTTATTTTGCTCTTGTACGATTTTTTAGGTAGCCTATAATCATTAAAATATAAAAATGTGAAAATAAAGCCTTATTTTCTATCAGTGAATTTCTTAAAGTAGGTAAACACAATATGCTCATTTACTCTGAACCATATATATGTGGCTTAGACTATTATTGCAGAACACCATCCAAGTATCCTTAGCACGTTAGTATTTGTTTCAGAAAAAAATTATTAAACAAGTAGGTGAAACAAATTTACGTTAAATAACATTATGCAAGAATACTATTTATTAAAAAAAAATGTAAGAAAATGTACAAAACTATGAACAACGGGTTAATGACACATATATTTATTTTATACCTAAAATTTAGCAAAGTACTAAACATTATGGAGAACACCAGTGCAGTCTACCGTGCCTTTTACCACAACGAGAGATTTTCTGCAAATTCGATTAATCGTTTAGATGTCTAAGTTGGTTGAATGTACTGTATGTAATAGTGACTTGTACTTCATTCTGATTATTTCACTAGCGTTCTTTATTAACATTTTACATTTATATTATGTCACTTACGCCTGTCAAAAACCGTTTAATATAAATATTTCACATTTTTAGTATTTCACATGTACCTATTAGGAAAGGTTCCACTGAAGTGTACTAAGTATCCAAAAATATTTAACAATTTTAGTATTTCACTTGGGTATACGTGTTAACAACGGCAATACTGATCGTTATTACCTTTATTATTTCACATAAAAACTGTTAAAAACTACAAAATTATGACTTAAAATTTAGTACTTTGTTTTTGTCTTGATTTTATTTATTATTAATTCGAACAACAGATGTTTATGATATGATTTTACTGATTATCCAAAATATTGTCTGGTCGAAGGGTTAAATATCTTTACAAAAAGTTTGACGTTACTCTTGTCCTCTGTTGCAGCAAGAGGCTGGTCAGAGGAATCTAATCCAGAGGCAGCAGGCTCTCGCTCTCATGTGCAGGTTAGCACTTTATAGACACGTACGTTATCATACCTTGTTGCATATTGTAATCCGCATCATTTTCATTGGCATGGTTTGTTCCTCTAACACGTATTTTATATGATTTTCGATAGTTTATTGCGTATTATGCCATTACAAAATGCAACAAATCGATATAGAAATAATGATTAAGTCAATAAGTATTCCTGGGTTTGTTAATAATAACATTTTGTTTTATTAAATAGTTTATTTAAACAAAAACATCATAAGCGTATTTTACAAATTTTACCTTTAATTTTAGTAAGGATTTTTCTGAATATACACCAAAAAGCATATTGTTAATCACATTTAAGTTAATCTTAATTTTATTTCAATATTTTTCATATAAACATAAAAACAACTATTTGCAAAGCTTTTTATAAGGTAAACCAAACCAAAATAGATCATATTAACAAAATAATGAAATTTTAATTAAACTTAAAATATTAATAATTAATATTACACCTTTTCGGGACGCTAAAAGTAATATATTACGCGTTGGTCAATAAATCCCGGACCTGACTAGTAAAACAACATTTTTTTGCAAAAATTATCCTTTATTCATCAAATAATCTCCTGTAGCGACGATGCAATCATTTCAACCCTTTTTTCGGCGATTACTTCCTCATCGGAGTGATATATCGTGCCACGAAGCATTTATTTAGATCGAGAAATTTTTGCCATCGTTTTCATCGACTTGTGACACGTATGCATTTTCTTGATGAAACAACAATTTTTTCTTCAACAATAATAAAATAATTCCTTGTGAGTCCCAAAATACAGAGTTCATAACCTTTCCGTCGGTTGTTGCGTCTTTGGCCGCCTTGGACGGCTTTTTCCGGACACTGTCGACTCAAGATCACTGCCAATTTGATTCTGGTGTCAAGTGATGGATCCATGTTTCATCCATTGTGATATATAAACCTCCTTGGTGACATTCTTTCTGAGCCAATCTCCAATATCTATCATCCATGTCTTCTTCCTTTTTTTTTTTGTTTTTCAATACCTTTGCTTCCCACAATCTTCTGACTGGTATTCATCCGATATAAATGACCCCATTAACTCGCTGTCTTAGTTCTATAAACTCCAATGTGGATTGTATTTTTATTTCGTTCCTTATATCTGTGTTCTTATTTTGTCAATTTTGGTAGCACCTTTAACTTGTTTAAAAAAGTTATTGGAAAACTTTCGTTTTTGTATTCCTTGATAGTTCTTGACTATCCTGACAAATTTTCTAATAATTTTATGACATAGTTGTAGCAGTTTTTTCTACTCTGTTATTAACTTCTGCTTCCAAAGATCCTGTTTCTTCTATTATTACTCCTAAATATGTAAAAAATTTAAACTTTTTTTGTTCGTTTAATTTCTATTTTACTAGAATATCTGCATAACTTTTGTTTTGTAAATATTTATGTTTTCATCCCGTTTTCATTGAGTAGTTCTTTGCATATTTCCAAATCATTCAGAAGTTATTTTTCGGTCTTTGCAATAAGCACCAAATATTCTTTCTACTTTTTGCAGCTTTCTATACCCTACATTAAGTTTTTTACTTCTTGTTGTATATTCTTAATAATTTCGTCAATAAATCCTACATTTATTTTTCTCTTAGTATTTTCCATAGTTTCCACAATCTTTTATCGAAGGTAAAGAAATGTAAGAAGGTAAAGTTTCTAGGTAAAGAAATGATACGTATATTTTCTTTTTCTCTTGTAGCGCTTTTTGTGTTATCTGTTTAAAGTAAATATGTAGTCCTGTATACTGCTGTCACTTCCAAATCTACTTTGTGCTTCGTCTAATGTGTGTTCATCATCATTATCATTCTAGCTTTACAACCCTGCGTGGGTCCTGGCCTCCTCAAGAATCTCTCTCCAGTCGTCCCTATCTATCGCCTTTCTCCGCCAAGCACGTATTACCATATTTCTCATTTCTTAATCGATGTTATCAAGGAACCTTGTTCTGGCCATTTTGTTCCATCCGCATTACATGCCTTATCCACCTCAGACGTCCTATCTTAATATGTTTTATGATATCTGGTTCCTGGTATATTCTATAAAGTTCGAAGTTGTATCGTCTTCTCCACACTCCATTGTCATTCACTGCTCCATAGATTCTCCTAAGTACTTTTCTTTTGAAACATGCCAACATGTTTTCATTACTTTTACAGATAGTTCCTCCTGGATTCGTATTCTACATTCAACTTTTTCAAGAGTTAGTTTTGTTAAATTTATCAACTGATTTTTTTTTCCCTAGCTCTTTCATCGCTTTGAACATTTCTCTTCTATTCAGAGTCGTAGGCTGCTTTGTAGTTTATAAATATTCGATGAGTATTATTGCCATATTCTAGTGTTTTTTCTAAAATTTGTATCATGGTTGCAATCGATGCGATGGATTGTCGATTTACAACCTTTGAAACCAGTCTGGAATTTTTCTACTATCTGTTCTGCATATGGTGACATAGTACTGTGGAAAATATTTTATACGCTGCATTTATTTACAAGCGTAATTCTTTTGTGGTTAGAGCATTCAAAGATATCTGCTTTTTTGTGAATAGTGTAAAGTATTCCAATATAAACGGTATTTTATTCCGTCAAATAGTGATAAATCAACCCACGAAACATTTTTAATCAATTTTTTACAAAAATCACAAAATTACCACTACTTAAAGCACTGTAACTCGGTAAATAATAATCTGAATGAAATGAAATTTTGACAGTATGTTTTTGATGATTAACACTACAGAAATGTCATGTGGATAATTCATTAGAGATGCCATTTCATGGGTAGGCCTGCGACTTATTGGTCAACGTAATGCAAAACTGATAGCGAACCATGGCAGTAAATAGTAACCCACTTTGACCTATTTTTTTGGCGGAGGTGGAATTTTTTTTGGAGCGTGTATTGTCACTTTTATGCCACATGTCACATATATTACATCACATGTCGTCCTTATTATGTCCTGTTTTATGTCAAATGCCATATATTATGTCAAATATCTCATATTATGTCACATTCTATGTCAAATGATATATATTATATCACGAGTGAACGCGCATCCACACTTGGTATAACCTGACAATACGCGCCTCCGCCAAAAACGTCGCCTTCACCAAAAAACTGCGCCTCTGCCAAAATAATTGGTCAAAGGTCAAAGCATGATGATACTAGCTACTTATGCTAGTCGATGAGACGCAATTTGGTCAAGATTTGTAACATCTATGGACAAGCTTACTTCACGAAAATTTCTAAAAATTCTTGCCTGCCATTGTTCGTTCTGGGTTTTCCAAGGGATACCCTAGTTGCTCTTCTACATGGTAGCATATTCTTTGAAGGTTGGCCACAATCTCAGCGAAATAATTTCATACATAATAGATTTCCCATTTTGTTAAATCTCTGCCTTACTTATTCATAACTTCTACGTGTTTTCTGTATATTTTTATGGCACTGGGTGTATATACAGGGTGTTTTTAGTGCAATATTGATCGATAATTTCATTATGGTGCAGAATATGCAAAAAAGTTATTTAGAAAAAATGTAGGCAATGATATTCTCCAGACTTTCCTGAATTCTGCAGGGTTATTCATTAATTAACTACAGGGTAAAGCACACGTATTTGTTTAAATAGGACTCCCTGTGTATTTTTTTATATTTAGATTCCTCTCATAATCCCTGTTTTGCAATGTACGGTTTGACACTACTATACAGGGTATTTAACGAGTTATGACAACTTTATTTCGAAATCGCTATGAAATAAACATTTGTATATAAAGAAGGAATAAATAAATAACGATTCATTTTATATAATAAGTTAAACACAATTTTCTAGTTTTCAAATTAAGTTTAACAGAAATCATTGACCAAATTTCCTATACAGGGTGAACTAAACAAGAAAATTACGATTTTTTCATATTTGTTAAATGGACAACCTTCTTGTTTTAATGTGTTTTGTATATGTGTTATATTATTACACACTAACTTAACACTATTAACACCAACACTAACATATATATCTGCTTACAAAAATTGAAGGTATTCCAGAAATTTTAAGAAAACCAAAAATATCTCGAAGTATTGAGTTTAGTTGTAGGGAATGCTTTATAAAAGTGAAATATTTTGAAAAAGTAAAATATAGGGTTGTACATTTAAAAAATAGGAAAAATCGCAATTTTATTTTGTAGTTTACCCTGTATACGATTATTTGTCAATGATTTTTGTTAAAGAAACATACTTTGAAAGGTAGAGCATATCTTTTAGCTTAATATGTAAAATGAATACTTTTATTTATTTCGTCTTTATATACAGGGTATTTCATAGTTATATCAATATAAAAATGTCATACGTCGTTAAATATCCTGTATATAGTAGTGTCAAACCTCATATTGTAATAACAGGTATTATTAGAGGAATCTGAATATGAGAAAATATACAGGGTGTCCTATTTAAGAAATTGTGTGTCAAATATCACGAATTTATTAATCACATTGCAGAATTCTGCCTATTTTCCAAGCCTGGATCACCCTGTATGTATATGCTCATTTTTTGTTTTCGTTGTTATTTTTTGATATAGGAATAAAGAACTATTTCAACCAATCTCGTGGAAAACCAATCCGTTCGTCCGGACTATTGGCTTTCCTTTTATTTGTTGTCTTATTTTTAACTGCTATGAGAACTTCTGAAGTTAGTATATCAAGAGCTTCTTCGAGATGTTCCTTATTATTGAAGAATCTGGAAATCTGAGGTGGGAATTTTTACTAGGAATACTTTTTGATTTCGAAAATTGTTCAATGGAAACGCGTTTGGTCACGGTATTGGTTACTAATGAGAACCATTTTAATAAAAGTGCGATATTTATTAAATATAGTGAAACCTAAGTAACCCGGAATCATACGTATTACTCATCTATCCTTTACTATTTGAAATTCTGCGCAACTTTTTGTTGATTATCTGCATATTATAATTCATAAAATCTAATCTAAATGACGCAA